CGGGTTTTCTTGTGTATTGCCTTCAGAAGAAGCTTCCTCCTGGGGTGACAGCCATGCACACCAATTTGATGTAGTGTGCGGCATATGGTCTGAACACTAACAGGCTGAATCCCAATCTCTTTAATCTCTGCGGCAATGCTAACAGCACTCCTACACCAATCTTTCAAAGAAAGCATTTGGATGTGACGCTCAGCACGTGTGCTCAGCTTCTTTGGACAACTTACTCGAGGCCTGTTCTGAGTGGACCCTGCTCTTTTAAAATGCTGGATGATCTTAGCCACTGTGCTGCAGCTCAGTTTCAGGGTGTTGGCAATCTTCTTGTAGCCTTGGCCATCTTTATGTAGTGCAACAATACATTTTTTAAGATCCTCAGAGAGTTCTTTGCCATGTGGTGCCATGTTGGAACTTTCAGTGACCGGTAAGAGAGAGTGTTAGAGCTGCACTACAAATTTGAATACACCTCCCCCATGAACACTTGGGCATAGTTACACTAATGAGTCACATGACATTTTGGAGGGAAAATGAAAAGCAGTACTCAATTTAGACATTTAGGGGTGTAGTTTCTTAGGGGTGTACTCACTTTTGTTGCCAGGGATTTAGCTTTTAATGGCTATATTTTGAGTTATTTTGAGGGGAAAAGAAATTAACTCTATTATATATGCTGCAGACAGACTACTTTTCATTGTGTCAAAAGGTAATTTTTTCAGTGCTGTCCCATAAAGAGATATACTTAAATATTTGAAGAAATGTGAGGGTGTACTCACTTTTGTGATACACTGTATATACATATTATAAGACATAATAAACATATATATATATATATATATATATATATATATATATATATATATATATATATATATATATATATATAAAAACATTTATATATATATGTATATATATATATATAAAGCAGGCAAAATATTAAGTTAGAAAAGAAGAAGAAAAAGTAGAATAAAAAGAGAAATAAAGAAGAGGAAAAGAAGAAGAAAAAGAAGCACAAAGGATAACGAATTATATAAATCGAAAGAAAGAAAGAAAGAAAGAAAGAAAGAAAAAAGAAAGAAAGCGAAGAACATCACTGAGCGAAAAGAACGTTAGAAAAACGATGAAGTCAGTATAAGGATGAAGAAAAAGATATAAAGAGAGATGTAGAAGAAGAGAAGTACTGAACAAAAAGGGAAGGGAAAAAATCTAAAGTGGAATAAAGAAGAAAAGAAGGAAAAATATAGAAAAGGAAAAAGAACGCAGAGAGTAGGAAAAGGAAAAGACATCAGGAAAAAAGGAAAAGAAAGAAAAAAGAAAGAAAATGAAGTATTGTGTCTGAATGGAGAAAAGAAAGCAAAGAAGAAGAAGAAGAAGATAGAAAGAAGAAGAAGAAGAAGAAGAAGAAGAAGAAGAAGAAGAAGATAGAAATATAGACAATAAAAGTTATAAAGAAATTTTATACAAAAACCAAAATGAAAATCAGCCAGGAAATAAAATAAAAAAGCAAATTAAGGAAAGAAGTAATCGCCTATTACGAAAAGAAGTACCGTATTTTCCATCTTACAAGATTCTGCGGCATGGAAGACGCACCCTAACATTGGAAAGAAATTTCTAAGAAAAAACAAAAAAAAACTCATTCTCATAGAACACATTCACCATGCGACCCTCACATACTGGCGCTACGTATTGTTTACATTAATCACTCGTCCGATTTTGTTTGTATGGCAATGAAAATTGGTCAAGAGCAAAAAGGCTTCCGTCTCTTCTAGTAAACAGAGCATGTTTAAGCTTGTGGCTCGGCTCCAGGAAGGTTTATATTTTTTGAAAATACTTGTAACAGCTAATTAGTGAGGTTGCATCATATAATAAGCTGAATTAGATAGATGACTAACATTATAGTGTAATTATTCAACATACAAATCCACTTCCCTATCAGTCAAGCCAATTAGGTGACCCTTCACGCTTACTTGAGCTTGGCCGTTGCCTTACATTCTTCTCGTGTATAACGTATTTTTCAGGGTATTTTGTAGGAAAAAAGTGCGTCTTGTAAGCCGGAAAATACGGTGATTATAAATGAAAATACGATAATTATAATGAAAGAAGACCTAAGAAAATATTCGATTAATTGATCTATTTTCGACGGTTTATCAACCCCTTTGTAGGTTATTTATAGACAGAAAATATTTTGAGATTCTAAGAATTTTTTTGGGGGAGATAATAATGATTTAGTGATACAAGGCTTACTAATTAACCCATAGCTGGAGGGAGAAATATGTGGATTCATACTTTTCCAAAAGGTATTTTTGTGTAAGGGAATATAGCGAACTCAACTGGAATTGAACTCGGTCCTCAGATTAACAGTTCCGAGCCATTATCCACCAAACCACTTCAAATCCCAGCTTACAGAACCTGGTATTCCCAAGCCGTTACCCATTTAAGTACTGACCAGTTTCGATGCTACTTAACTTCGGTAATAGTACGGGAACGGGTGTTTCAACGTGATGTGGCCATATGTCAAAAAAAAAAAAAAAAAAAAAAAGAGAGAGAGAGAAAGAAAGAAAGTCGGAAAAATAAACAATAAAAAAATACAGTAGAATTCCTTATATCCGGAATCCCTCATATCTGGATTTCCTCATATCCGGATTCCCTCATATCCGGATTCCCTCATATCCGGATTTCCTCATATCCGGATTCCCTCATATCCGGAGTGCCTCATATCCGGAATCCCGCGTATCTGGACATGATTTTGATGTGTATATTTGAACTATTTGGGTGATATGTAACTGATTTGAAATTTCTTTTTTTTCAGGAAATTTACTTTCGATAATTGCTTATACTTATTTCACCCTAATGGCTTGTATTGATGCAAAGGATGATGGGAATAAGAGGAAAGGATGACGATGAGGCACATCTGCAACAAGATGGCGTCGAGATGCATGATTTTGATAAAACCTGGACTGAATTTGAAAAGCTATTGAAGAGGTTGTCAGTTTTATGGAAAGAAAGCCAGCATTCAGTTATGACGATTGCAATAACGCACGCAGATTTAAAAAAAAGTGTCTTTCGTTTAAAAAATTCAAGAACAAAAGCAAAACGGAAAAGTTGAGAATGACATTAGAAAAGAAAGAATCATCATGCAACAACGATTAAAAAATCCTCGTTACATTATTTGTTTTGCATACGTGGCATACTTAATTTAATGAATTTTCATTAACATTACATAATTTAATTCTTTATCCTTAAAGTCAGTTCCGTTATATTTCACTCACCATTAGCTTATTTTGTTTACTATAAAACATTGAAAATAAATGTTAAACCTGATTTCAGTTCTTTTATTTTAATCTAAATATCACCCCTCATATCCGGATTTTGTAACCAATTCCTCATATCCGGAAGGCCTTCTTAGACCGGTTGTCAGGGATTCTACTACATAAAGATATCAAGTAGAAGAAGACTTTCCGATAGATTGATTTGTGTTTTTCGCGAACATTAATCCTCTATGCACTATTTAAATCCGACTCATCTTTCAGACTCTAGAAGATTGCAAAGGGGAGGAGGTAGTTTCCCATCCTTCAGGAGGATGCCTTTTTCTTTATTACAGTTTCTCAATTATAGACGAAAGCCGAATATAGATACAGTATATACTCGTGAAACCAGCGATTTCGCGTATCGTGCGACCCCCCCGCATTTTCACTTATAAACAATGATTTTATCATGTATCTCGTGTATCATGCGAGTTCCTTTTTAGAGAGACCAAATTACAATAGAATAACCCCTTTTCCTCTATCTCTTTACCCTGTCTTCTAGTTAAATAAGTTAAACAAGTAAAAGAGAATGATAAAAGTATCGTTAGTAATGCTATATTCGATTCGTAAACGCGTACAGCCATAAACAACCGAACGAGAAACAGCTAAACATCTTATAAACGTAAACAATGGAAAAGATGCATATTTGCTATGTTTGTATTTTACATGATACTAAAATGTGAATATGACATGCATTGTTATTGGATAGAGTTAAGTACATCATCAGTTTTATCAAACTCATGTTTATTTTAAATACAGCTGTACTTTTGACCGAAGAAAATGGATGTATAGTTTTGTCAAAGGCGTAGCTAAGGTCAGCAATACATACGTTAATTTTATATCTGGTGTATTGTGAGCCCGTACTGTGTCGATGAGCCAAGTTTAAATTCCGCCTGGTTTTGTTGAATTAATTTTGTACTATAACCTCGGGAAAGAAAATAATCCATTCCTTCTATCTTCAACTATAAAGTAGAGAGTTCTGTAAATTGGGATAACAAACGAGCTGTCTTAGAAGCATAAACCGCATTAAAACTGATTTTCTTCTCACAGTGGATATATCTCCCTCATGTGAGAAATGCCAATAATTTTATCTAAATTCGTTTCTTTGTACAGTGTAACCCGGATATAAGAGAAACCCGGATATGAGAGATTTTCTCTGGTCCCAAATTAGAGCCCATACTTACCTAAACAAAATAGACCAAACCCGGATATAAGAGAAACCCGGATATAAGAGACTTCTTCTCCGGTCCTGACACCTCTCTTACATCCGGGTTACACTGCATTTCATTTTCTTTGTTTGCATTCAACACCTTACGGGTCATTTAATGCCGAAATTTAATTTTCTTACTAGAATTAGTAATTTCTTTTACAAAAATGTATTGTTGGTAATATTTTTTTCAAAAATATATTGCTGGTAATATTTTTTTCAAACATGTATTTCTGGTAAAATTTTCTTTCATAGATGTATAGCTGATAATATTTTGTTTTTAAAATGTGTATTGCGCTAATAATTTTTTTTTTCAAAAATGTATTGCTGGCAATATTTATTTTTCAGAAATGTATTACTGGTAATATTTTTTTTTTGCCAAAAAAAAAATGTACTGCTAGTATTTGACTATACGAAATCTATTTCTATATTTTCGTAGAGTTTTCCCTCAAGTTAGAGTTTGAGTATTTGCCCTTAGCTGGAATCCTAACAAGTGCTAACACCCTGGTTTCAGGTTGGACCTGGGAACAGCATCAATTAAGAGGTGGTCCACGCCCCTAAAAAACTACCCAATCAGAAGCCTTTGTTGCCAGATATAGTTTATCATTACGCCCGGCGTTCTTTATCTAAAGCAACGTTATCCAACCTTTTCTCAACGTCGTCCTGGGTAAGACATTAAACTACCTCCACGTCCTGGGTAAGACGATAAACTACGTCTATCAGCAAGGTCTCGGATCAGGAGGTCTTGAGGAGTATGGAACCACCTATTAATTGCTGGTGTTCCCAGGTCTACCCTGACCCGAGGCGGTAGCACCTGTTAGGGTCGCCGTTATGGGCAAATAGTTAACTATTAGCAGCAATACTTTTTTTAAAAAAAGATATTACCAGCAATAAATTTTGAAAGAAAATATTAACAAAAACAGATTTTAGACAAAACAAAATATTACGAGCAATAAAAAAAATTGTCGGCATTCATTAACCTATTGAGGTTGATATGCCGTAAAACAAATTAAACCAAACTAATCTAAACTAATGAACAGATATTCTATTCATACGAAGCTATCGGAAAAAAAATTGTTGGTATTAAATAACCTATTGAGGTTGATATGCCGTAAAACAAAATAAACCAAACCAAACCCCTTTGGGCACAAACATTTCGTCAATGCCCCCTTGTCAAATTAAATTTCGAATATTATACCGACTTCATCTTTCATAGCAAGATTACACTTAGATATTAGTGAAAAAAATAATGTTTTCATTTCTATTAGAAATGACAATGATTAAAATCCTAAAAAACTTTTACTTGATAGCTTATGTCAATGTTTTCAATGCGATGGTTGACTTTGGTGCTTACTGGCTAAGGCTCTTACTCTCGGTTCATTTGATAGCTTATCTCAATGTTTTCAATGCGATGGTTGACTTTGGTGCTTACTGGCTAAGGCTCTTACTCTCCAGTTCATTTGATAGCTTATCTCAATGTTTTCAATGCGATGGTTGACTTTGGTGCTTACTGGCTAAGGCTCTTACTCTCGGTTCATTTGATAGTTTATCTCAATGTTTTCAATGCGATGGTTGACTTTGGTGCTTACTGGCAAGGCTCTTACTCGGTTCATTTGATAGCTTATCTCAATGTTTTCAATGCGATGGTTGACTTTGGTGCTTACTGGCTAAGGCTCTTACTCTCGGTTCATTTGATAGCTTATCTCAATGTTTTCAATGCGATGGTTGACTTTGGTGCTTACTGGCTAAGGCTCTTACTCTCGGTTCATTTGATAGCTTATCTCAATGTTTTCAATGCGATGGTTGACTTTGGTGCTTACTGGCTAAGGCTCTTACTCTCGGTTCATTTGATAGCTTATCTCAATGTTTTCAATGCGATGGTTGACTTTGGTGCTTACTGGCTAAGGCTTTTACTCTAGGTTCCATACTTCTTGGAAGTAACCATAAATCATCTTGTTTTGTAATTTGCAGGCGGTTTCTTTGTTTAGTAATAAACACTCTAACTGCATTGAAACCACATTCAGCCCTATAGAAAGTTGAAAAAGCAATGAAGAAAATTTTGATAGCTTTCTACAGCACTTTCAGAAAATTCCTTTAGTAGCCAATATTGAATAATTTTTGAATATCTGAAAAAAAAAATGGATACATGTTCACCACTCTCACAAATGAAATGAAAAAAAAAAAAAAAACTCGCAGTGACCCCTTTCAACATAACAGAGCCCACAAGGCGGGCGCTATCGGGCACTTTGGAAACACTGATCTAAAGGATTCAGCTATGCTGTACGACGGTGACGGTCGCCGTGACGGGATCTGAACCACAAAGTCGACGGTCATAGCTTTAGCAAAGGCCTAGTGTAGCAAGTGCTAACAGCGCGCACATTAAGCGCATCGATTAATTTCTAATAATTCAGGCTTGATTTGTTGCTACAAAAGTCGGGCAAAATGAAAGAAAAGCATATATGGAGAAATCAACCGTTTTGTGGATGAAACAAAAAACAAAAAAAACATAACTAAAAAGAAAGAAGACTTTCTTTGTTCAAACGATGAAATAGAAATGAAATATTTGCAAGGTGAACCGAATTGCTATGCGTCTTTTGAAGGAAAAATGGTCCTTTCCCCGGCACCTCACGCTAACCTCCCGCCCAGTTGTCGATCTGGAGCCCAGGATAAATGCAAATTTAAAGAGGGGGCATGTTTTATGAGTTTTATTTCTCTTTCTTCCTGCTGTGTAAGCCTGAGCTAAGAATTCACGAGTCAGCTTTCTGTGTATTAACTACAAAGAGAAAAATTGGACAGAAGTCGAAAGGCATCAAAATAAATAAAATAAAATAAAAAAAGACGAAAAGAAAAAGAGTGACATAAGAAAAGAAACAAAGAAAGGATAATACAAAAGGAAAAACAAACAAAGAAAAGAAGAAATTAGAATGTCAAGGGTGATAATAGCCGTTCTCTCATAAAGAAATATTCGGCATTCATTGACCGAGCAGCCACTGCTAAACG